TTTGTATGTGGTGCTGAGGATCGAACCCGGGCCGCACGCATGCCAGGCGAGCGAGCTACCGCTTGAGCCACATCCCCAGCCCCCAATCCCACTTTTTGAATTGAAATATCTGTAACTGTTATCCTATGGAACATAAGGTACAATATGTAACATAGGATAAATATTAATCTATATGTTTGAAGATAGATAGTATCCTTTGAAATAAAGTTAATATATAAAAAAGAAAAAATTGCTTTCATTACTAAGGCTTAAACCTGTTTCTTAATGTGACTTGGATTAATGTGTATAATACATGTATGACAACATTTTTATTTTAAATTTTCAAGGAAAAGTATTTTTCCCACCATTGGGGATTGAACCCAGCAATGCTTTACCAATGAGCCACATCCCTAGCCATTTTTATTTTTTATTTTGACAAAGGATCTTGCTGAGTTGTTGGGGCTGGCCTTGAACTTGCAATTCTCCTGCATCAACCTCTGGAGTAACTGGGAATACTAGCTTGTGCCACCATGGCAGGCTACATTTTTTTTTAGTCCCCTCAAAACATGGTTCACCCAAATGCACCAAATATCTCCAGAAGGAGATCATTATGGCTTAGATGTGAGGTGTCTCCCTAAAGCTCATGTCTGAAACAATGCAGGAAGGTTTASAGGAGAAACGATTGGGTCATGAGAACCTTAACCTAATCAGTGAATTAATCCCCTGATGGGAATAACTGAAGATGAGTAAAGAATGGCTGGAGGAAGCAGGCATTGGGGGAGTGCCTTCATGGTATATATTTTGGATCTGGTGAGTGAAGTTTCTCTCTGCTTTCTGATCATCATGTGAACTGTTTCCCTCCACCTTACTCTTTCACCATGATGTTCAGCCTTACTCAAGCCGTAAGGAATGGAGCCGGCTGTCTATGGACTGAGACCTCTGAAACTGTGAGCCCCCAAATAAATTTTCCTCCTCTACAATTGTTCTGGTTGGGTCTTTTAGTCACAGCAATGAAAAAAACAGACAAAAACAGATATTTATTGAAAGTTAGCTATGTGCTTGTCTCTGTCTCAGCTTTGGGCAATGGTCCTGAACAATACAGACTATGCACTTCACGTTGTGAAATCCATATACAAATAGAGGCTATTTCACATAGCATAATATCTTCTAGGTTTATTCCTATTGTTGCAAATTATAGGATTTCCTTCTTTTTGAAGGCTGAATAATATTCCATTGTATGTGTATACCACATTTTCTATTTCCATTCATTTGTTAGTAAGACATTTGGGTTGTTTCATATCTTGGCTTTTTGAATAATGCCACATTGAATACAGGAGTGCAGATATCTTTTGAGGTCCTGATTTTAATTCTTTTGAATATGCCCAATAGTGCGATTGCTGGATCATATGGTAGTTTTATTCTTTTGAGAAATTTCTATTTTGTTTTCCATAGAGGTTGCACTATTTTACCTTACCACCAATAGTGGACAAGAGTTCTAGTTTCTCTACAACTTCACCAACACCAGTTATTTTTTAATTTTTGTAATATAGCTCTATCTTTTTTTGTGCATGTGTGGTTTTATTTTTTTTATTCTAATTTGTTATATATGACAGCAGAATGCATTATGATTCATATTACACATATAGAGTGTAAATTTTCATATCTCTGGTTGTATACAAAATATATTCACACCATTCATGTCTTCATACATGTACTTAGGGTAACAATGTCCATCTCATTCYACCATCTTTTCTACCTCCATACCCCCTCCCACAAGTTTGCCCTATCTAGAGTTCATCTATTCCTCCCATGCTCCCCCCTCCCAACCCCACTATGAATCAGCCTCCTTACATCAGATAAAACATTTGGCATTTTGTTTTTTGGGGATTGGCTAACTTCACTTAGCATTATATTCTCCAACTCCATCCATATACAGCTGTATCTTAAATCAAAATTATTACAYTTAGAAATAATCTTCCCAGTCCAATTACTAGCAAATTGAAACTAAGCTTAATGTCTTTAAGGGGTGAAGTAATTATATTTGAACTATTCCAATTGTTTGATCTGTACCTTAACTGTATGTGAAAACAACCAAAAAAAAAAATACATGTCATAAGTTCCTGAGTAGTGCTTATTGCAAACTTTTAAGATATGAAAAGAGGGATGAAGGTGTTGTTCAGTGGTAGTGTCTTCCCAGTAGGTGTAAGGCTCTCAGTTTGAAACCCCAGCCCCACAGGGAGGACAACATTGTGAAATCCATCTAAACGCTTTAAGCTTATGAAAAATAAAACAAAGCATTATGACTTATATCTAAGATGTTTCATGGGATGTGTTCTTAGATTTTGTACAGAGCTTTAAGGAATAATGATTTCTTATTTTACTGAAAAAAAGAATCTACTGTTGAAAAAGGTACAAACATTCTCAATTTGTGATTAAACTTATCAGCAATTAAAATACGCTTTTAAGAACAGTGTGCGTTACTGTAAGAACAAGTTCTTTTTCTTCAAGTACTACATCCACAGTAGATTTGTTCTTGGTCAGGGGGACTGAGTTGATATGGAGTGTGACTTTTTAGTTAGCAGTGATTATGTAGAAGTGAATTCCATGTTTGTCGGGGACAGTGAGGGGCAGGGTGGGGAAGAGAGGAAAGCTAGGTACTTGTCACCTCATGTCTTCCTACCAAGATACCTAATTATTTTTTCAACACATCTTTACTGATAYGTAATGACAAGATTTGTTGTTACATATCTGTACATGCACACAAT